ATAAAATTCAATAATTTCTCCTTTTAATGAAAGTGACAATGACAATGACATTTCGCAAGCATTTCCATGAACTTTTTTTTTGTATTATGGCTATTTTGTATTTTTTTTGTATTTGCGTACGGAAAGTAGTCAAAATTAGAGAAACAAGGATATAGGAAAAACCAAATCGGACCCCAATTTGCATTGACTTAAATAAATGGACGAGGAGTCTAATACAAAAACCACGAAAAAAACCTATTTAAACGTAGTGACATGTAAAGTAATATAAAAAGCTAAACGTTGAATTTAAATTATAATGTCATTGCAATACTGCCTAATTTTGCTTGCAACAATTGAAAGGAACAAAAAACACCATATTCAGCTTCTACTTTAAACTTACCAAAATGCACCACATGTAGCTTCTAGTGAAAACTACTTGAACACAGGTATAATGGAGTAGCCTTTATTATTTATAAATAAATTTTATACGTAAATGTTGAATTTTATACAACGTCATTTTTTACGAGCTAGGGTGTGTAACTTTTTTATTTGAGTTTCGAGAATTGTCGTACCCGATTTCTCGAGTTACTCGAGAATTCTTTTAAAAATCATAAAAAAATCAGCTCAATCAACTATAAAACTAAATGTGAACTTTTCGAAAGTTGTTTTGGCCTGGGTGTTCTGAGTTATACCCCGGAATAAATTCCATCGTTCTTGGTCCCAGGTTCGATTCCCAGTAGAACCAATTTGGTAAATGAACTTTTGTAAATTGGTTCTGCTCTGGGATTCTGTTGCTCTGATACTCATTGGGAGTATGTACAGAGAGTTCCCTAGTTTCAAACCAGGTGATTGTCTTACAATAGAATACCAAGACCAGAACCATTTGGAAAAGTTAATTTGTTAAATTGATCCTACCGGTATCGAACCCGGGAACTTCTCATCCAGTGCCAACAGTGCAAACCGTTAGACTATCAAGGTTGTTACTATTTGTATTATTATGCAGTGTTTTTGTTCACTAATTGATGTAATCACATACCAAAGCTTTAATATTATGGTCGTTTATCAAGCTTGCATCAGCTCTGGTTTCCTTTCTTTTCTAACCATTTTCTTAACCCGTTCGTGCATAGTACTGAAATTACACTGCGCTCAAAAACGTCACCACTTTTCTATATGCCGTAGTGCTTACATTGATTCAATATAATTATTACGGTTTATCACTGACGACGGTTGATTCCGTCAACGGGCATAGTCGTACTGCTCATAGTTCTTGCAAATGTTTTCTTGTGCATGAAAAAGTACGGCTATGACGGTAGTAGGGTATTTGCCGTTGTGAGATAATTACAAATTAAAATGCGCGATATTGATTGCGCAAGAGACACGCTTTCCGAAATAAACAGTTAGGTACTAATTAATAATAGTAATTATAATAACGCACACACTCAACTTTGCGCCGCATCAGGGAAACCCTGTGTCGCGGACACAGGGCGGTGCCATGGACACACATATAGACAACCACAACTTACGCCCAAACTTATGAGAGAAATAAATATAGACCATACACATATTTCTCCCGAAAAACAAAAAAAAATATTTTCGGGATTATGGAAATTCATGCAAACGTTATTTCGGGCAAATGTATTTTCGGTCTTCTGATTCGAAACCCCGAGCCGTAGAAAGAGTACAACAATATTTGAAAGTATTAGAAAGTATTACTAACATCTATTAAAAAATATTTTAATAATAACATTAGCATCAAAGCGACTCTATGGAATTTTTGTTCTAAATATTTCAAAGGTTTGTGTTTCAAACAATTGAAATTGACGTGATGGGTCTCGTCTAGTCTTTTACGCAACCAATATGTCGGAAAGAGACAGTTAGCTATTTGATTATTTTGATTGCTTTTGTAATTTATATTTACGATTCGTTTAAATATAAATTAAATACTATATATACTAGTGCATAAAATAACACTTTTAAATGATAACTATGATAACACAATGTACTACGTACTGAAAATGTGATATACCACTATACCACCCTGTTTTTTCACTTTAGTTGAGTAATTTTTACAAGGTTTTACTACACAATACGGCATCATTGACAAGCGCGCTGTCAGTCGAACAAACGAAGACTAAAGCGTGATTGATGCTCTGTATACGATTTTAACGCCCTGTAAGTTCGGACACTTTTTAGCGCGGACCCGACGTCCATTTATTTGTAAATCAATGGGAATTTGGAAAAGAAAAGAAAAACGTTGTGGTTTTATAAGTTATAATCATTAGTAAGATTCTCTATATTCGCCACAAGAGCATAGAGGATTTGTGACAATATCATTAGTTTTAAATAAATGCGCAGGAGTATTAACGTGGCCAAATCGAAGTCGGTTAATAACAGAGGTGCTACGTTTATCAAACTGTAACTTAGTAAACCAAGGTTTATCAGGAATATACTCTTGTACCAATCAATAAAACTTCTCTTTGTGAGTATTGTTGACCCAGAACTCATTCCTTGCTAAATTTAGGCGTACTGTCGAGAGAGTTGTCAAATCGCAACAATAATTTATTATATGTTACCATCTTGAATAGCAGAGCTAGCCAGTTGGTCTGCTTTTTAATTTCCACAAATACCCATGGGTTTCCAAGTATGCCTGTGTCGGTCGATCATTTTTAATAACCCGGGTCGATCATGACCCATGCGTAATGTGATCGGGTCAAATGATTCGATCTTTTAGCGGGTCACCCATCCCGATACTTCCATGTGGTGGTTAAAAGTGTTAAATTATACAATTAGCTTTTATTCTTTCCTGCTGATCGGTAATGTGTATAAACTAAATGCGTCATTGATAAACCATACTTAGGAAACTAAAATTTCTTTCTAGGAAAAGTAACACCTACAAAACAAAAAAGTTGAGCATTCAAAATTACTAATTTGTTATTCATTAATATTTTAATGCTAGTGCAATAACTCATGAATAAACACAACATACAAAAAACAGATTCAACTTATAAAATTACCATGTAATGGGTACACTACGCCACGGAGCGATTAGGATGAATAATTGATAGACTCATGGATCCATTGATCCGTTAACCCCTTGACCCATTGACTCGTTGATCGATTGCTTGACTTTTTGGTTCGATCGAACTAAGGTTCTATCGAACGAATCCTCTATCGAACAAATGTTCGATCCAAACGAAGAGTGAGAAGGCGAACCGTGTCATGAGTGAGGACTTCACACGACAGTGA